TCTATTACACATCCAGTTGGAGTTTTAAATAGGCAGTTGATGGAAGTCTGGAGTTCAGGAGAGAGGTCTGAGCTGAAAATATAAATTTGAGAGTCTGGGCATTATAGATTGGATGAGCTCTCAAGGGTGTGAGTAATGACAGAGCAGAAAACCAAGAGCTGAGCCCTGGGACCTTCCAACTTTAAGGGGAGAAACCAGCAAAACAGACTGAGAAGGAGTAAACAGTGAGGTAGAAGGAATAGTGATAGGATGTGTTTGGCTCCAGTGGAGAGCTAATAATCTGTAGAGATAGGACAATAAATAAATTAGTAAAAGGTCTTGAAGATCAAGCATAGAATCTAGATTTCTTAGATGCTGAAACTGAAATGTAAATTGATTTAGGACTGGCTGTGGTGGCTCACGTCTATAATCCCAGCACTTTGGGAGGCCAAGGCAGGTGGATCACCTGAGGTCAGGAGTTTGAAACCATTTTGACCAATATGGTGAAACCCTGTCTCTACTAAAAATACAAAAATTACCCGGGTATGGTGGCATGTTCCTGTAGTCACAGCTACTTGGGAGGCTGAGACAGGAGAATTGCTTGAACCTGGGAGGCAGAGGTTGCAGTGAGCCAAAGTCACACCACTGTACTCCATCCTGGGCAACTGAGTGAGACTCCATCTAAAAAAAAAAAAAAAAATTGATGTAAGACTTGTCTAAAAATGACTTCATGGTAAATCTCTCCTTCTTGATTAAATCAGAATCTTCATGGTTGAGAAAATTTTTCTAATGTGCAAGGTTTAGAAATATGCACCTCAGTCTACCATGGAATTTGGTATGACAGGCTGTTTCATTCTGAGTTCAGAATAACAAACTCTTCCTCTCTCTCTCTCTCTCTCTGTATACTTTTGATCAATTGCAACATTTTAGAGAAGCTTCCACATAGCCAAATAGGAGGTCAACACTACTTCCTTAAAACTCAGTTTCCCTCCCCAGTTTGACAAGGAAGAGGTTGTAGACTTGCAAGCCAGGCTTAAGGACAGAATATCCCGAATCTTGGTCATGGTTTCATGCTCTTTAGTTTTTGCCATGATAATCTGTCTTGCTTATTGCCCTCTGACCCGTTGAGAGCTCGGATTTTCTTCGTGCCGTATGAGTTATAAAATTAAAGATCAGTCAATTCCAAAAGGAGGCTGAAATAATATCTTTTGAAATTCAAGGGTGATGTAAAAATATACTACAGAAGAAGATGTGGAAATTCAACAACATCTCGTAAGAGAGATGAGAATCAGAGGAGGTGCTTTGACACCTCCTATGATACACAGAGTCCAGGTGCATATTCTCTGACTTGGAAAAGGATTTGAGCATGGCACAGAATTTTTATTGATTTTTGTTTGTGGCTATTGGGTAATTGCTGATTAAGTTGGTGCTTCTAAGAAATAACTAAGTGTAGGCATTTAATAGCTTTTAAAATATGCTTGAAGACATTTTTGGTCCCATTTTCTTTGTTGCTTTTTTGATCTAGACTCTCAAACTCTTTGAGGACTGCAGCAGGAAATTTAGATTTAACCTCAAGAGTCAATGTTTTGTCTTGTGTCTCCTCTAATATAATACAGATGTTAGGATGGCTGTATTTTACTTGAACATTTATTGAATTTCTGCCTTACTCCCATTCTCTTTTTAATGAGAAACAGTCAAACTCTAGTGCTTATTAAACTCAGAGAATACAAGTTGTAATCTTGAGCATGTACATGTGGAGAAGATATATTTAGGTTATTTACTTAGATTACAAACCCTTAAACTGTTCCACTATTTCAGGGAGAAACCTTCCCTCTGAGAAAAAGACACTGAAAAACAAACAAAAATATTAAAGATGAAAAAAGTGCTTAAGAACTGAAAAAGTGGTTCACTTTTTTTTTTTTTTTAACTGGTATGAGTGTCAGTTCATTACCTGGGCAGCCTGTAATATGGGTAAGATATTACTCTTTACATTCTATATTCCAAGTTCACAATGCCTATATTTTCTATCTAGAAAGCTAGTTCTTCTACTATTTCAGCGAATTGCACTAACCATTTGAGTAGTTCAGCAACTTTCACGTTGCCAGTGTCAGCTCCATGCCGCATCCACCCTCCCTAGGTCAGCTGGTTGGAGAAAGATCCACTATACCCAACGACTCTAATACAAACGATGAAACCCAGCTCCTTTGGCTGAAATGCTGCATTTACTGATCAGTACTGAATCAGAAATCTGCGTGTTTTTTTTTTGTTGTTTTTTTGTTTTTTTATGTTGGTGGCAAATTTATTTAAGAGGACAAAAACTCTGCAGCAATGTGGATGCCTCATGTGAGCTTGTTCATATGGTTTAGGTATCCTTTCTTAGCTGGCCCAGTTACCTGATCTGTTTCAACTAGGCTAAACATACGTGTCACAATTACCTTTAGATTTACTTGATTGGAGACATTCTTGTTTATTTGTGTTAGTGAGGAAAATAAACTCAATGCTATGCCCTCAGGTCAATCACAGATTTGTTTACTCTGATGGTTACAACGAATCATGAAATAGAGCTGTTCAAAGGGGGATGTATTGAGCTCCCCGTCAGTGTCATTGGGTGACTGGCCTCACTCTGGCATGCATCCAGGTGACTGAATGTTGGGGATCTTATAAGGAGACTCATGTGCCGAATGGGCAATTGGTCTGGATGACGTCCACATCCCCCTTCCCACTGTATGTGCTCTATTGGTTCATTTGATTCAGTCTTTCAGGACCAACAGCATCTGGAGAGCTTGATTTTTTTAAAAAAAATTTTATTTATTTTATTTATTTTTATTTTTAAAAATTATTTATTTGTTATACTTTAAGTTCTGGGGTACATGTGCAGAATTCTTAAATTAGCGATTTAGAGTCGTGTTTGCATCTGGTCCATTGTGCGCCAGTGAACCTGCTAATGATTACATGTGTATACTTGGCCATGGTATGTAGAATCAGCATGCTGTGGGAGGAACATTTAAAATTATTTGTTGTTTTGGCATTGACATTTTCTTTGAAATTTAAGCTTTCTATCATGTTTTCATTAGGAATTCTGGGCATCTGGTTTTAAAAAACCTTAACAACCTGTATTAGCTGGTACTTCTAAAATAACATATATATAACACCACCAATTATTATGTTAGTGATGCCATTACTGCTACAGGGAGCAATTTAGTGTGTCTGGTCAAGAATTATGTTATTTTATGATAAGACAGTAAAATATTTCTGTTGTTTTTACTATGGTACAACTTATTGTGGAATTAAAACAAGTCTTCATTTATAAATGTCTGGTTTTTTTCTGTCGGCTTTCTTGCCTTTATGCAGACTTTGCACAGCATTTACGGGTAAATTTAAACCTAAAAAGTAAAATAGAAAGTACTAGAGGAAAAAGTAAGGGGCTGTTGGTTCTGATCGGGCTGAATTTGAAGCTCAGCTGTGAAACTCACTAGCTGTGTGGCACAGTTTCTGTCTTAGATCCTCTGGAAAAAGACATAGTCTTCAAGCCAGCAATGGTGTGTTTAAAAAAAAAAAAGAAAGACACTGAGTCTCATGATATTCTGCTTGACATAGGTTCTGTGTTCAGTAAGAGGGATCTTTCATAAGATAAACTGTAGTTCCCAGCCGGGTCTGCTGCCTTAGTGGGAACAAAGAGCAGTGAAGCAGATTAAGGGCAATGTCTGAACTTCTCCCATTCTCCCTTTTCTTTTCCATTGTTGGCTTGCACCTTGTTCACTGGTTGCTAGGAGATCAGAGGTGGAAGGGAAAAGAGCCCTGAGGCAGGAAAACCAGAGTATGTTCAACAATGGGGATCCTGATTTTTTTTCTTTTCCCCCCGAGAGGGAGTCTCGCTCTGTCACCTAGGTTGGAGTGCAATGGCGTGATCTTGGCTCACTGCAAACTCTGCCTCCCGGGTTCAAGCAATTCTCCTGCCTCAGCCTCCCAAGTAGCTGAGACTACAAGTGCCTGCAACCACACCTGGGTAATTTTTTTTTTTTTTTTTTGTATTTTTAGTAGAGATGGGGTTTTGCCATGTTGGCCAGGCTGGTCTCGAACTCCTGACCTCAGGTGATCCACCCACCTCTGCCTCCCAAAGTGTTGGGATTACAGGCATGAGCTACTGCGCCTGGCCTGATCCTGATGTTTTTAAAAGATAGTATTTAGCTCAAATACTTCTGTGTGGCAAAGGTGAAAGCATGTTAGACTTCTGAGAGTTAGCATGATCACTAGAAAGTCTTCAAATGCTAGTGTATGTGTTTTTCTTTGCAGGGCATATCTGTAGAAAAACCTGAAGAGAGATAGGTTGCAGGAAGCTTTGCTCCCTTTGGTGTCTCCCGCCTTCTTGTTCTTTGTCCTTACTTTATGTCTGGCTTTATCCCATGTTTATATTCCTATTCGGTGTTGCCTCGTTACTGTCATTTCCCTGGCAAAGGCTCTTCCAAAGTTTGATGTGAATCCTTGAACCAAGCTTGCTTTGATAAATCCAGGCAGAATATACCTTGCATATTTATTAGCTATCTATCTTTTTTCTTTTTTGAGACAGGGTCTCACTCTGCTTCCTAGGCTGGAGTGCAGTGGCACTACCATGGTACACGGCAGACTTGAACTCCAGGCTCAAGCAATCCTTCCACTTCTGCCTCCTGAGTAGCTGTGGCCACAGGCGCATGCCACCACGACTAGCTATTTAGGTGGTTTTTTTTTTTTTTTTCAATTTTTACTAAAGATGGTGGTCTTACTATGTTGCCCAGGCCTTCAGGTGCTAGGGATGGCTGAAGTTATCTCAGGATGCCCTGAGCTTTGATGACCCTATATTAAGACTTGGAGTTTATATGGGTGGGTGTATAGAAGATTCTCAGAACTAAAGATCTTGGATTCATAGAACTTGAACTTAATTCAGGTGACTTGTATGTTTTGACATTTGTACCTGCTAATGATTACAAGTTACGGAAGTTTACTGATGGAAGATCTATCAAAATATAACTCTGAATACAGTGACATTAATGTTTTAATTTATAATTTATTTATTATGGCATAGCTGACAGATTTTAATTAGTTTGGCTAATACAGGGGATGATTCTCCTTACGGTTCAGTAGCAGTATCAAAAGTTCTCTTATGTACTGATTGTTTTTGTCAGGCACACTGAATCAGTGAATCATTTTCCTTCTGTTTGGGAAGGTGTTGAACTTGGGCGCGATGGGAGGAAGCTCGGTACTGTTGGAGAATGCCCGTAGTTAGAATTGGTCCATGTCCAAACCACTCCACCCAACAAGGAAGCGGCTTGAAGTTCCAAACAGATTCCTGGAGCTGGAGATGCGTTTAGGCGAAGAGCAGGGCTGGCTTGGCCTGTGAGCTGCACAGCACAGAGTCATGGACGATTAAATGACAGAATTGAAGCCAAAGCTTGAGTAAGGTGCCAGACCAGATGAGAAGCACGCCAGTGGAGGGAGAGAAAAACTAGGCATGAAGTGAGGGCACTGTATCTGAGGACACTGGACTGAGTGAGTGCATATACAAGGGAAGGTCGGAGGCAGAACTCTAAAGGGCCCTGGGCAGCATTGGACAACCTGGCTAATTACAGAGCTATATACAGCCCGCTTACTCACTTTGCAATGAAAATGTCTTAAGTCAAAAGCACTGTGCAAAAGATCGAATCCCTGGAGACCCCAACTGGGCTTGCAGGTCTCATTGTTCTGGCTTCTGGAGGGTGGGCTCCAGGGAATGCCTCGGTTATCCTGAGAGTAATGGGAATATTAGACTCTGCCCTACTCTGCCTTCTCTCGTCATCCAAATAATAGCAAACCTCGTAGCAGGAGTCCAGGATAGTCATGGTTAAAGGAAAATGCTGGAGAAAATGTAGGAAACTTTGGTCCTTTACAAATGACTCGAAGCTTTACAACCTGGCGGTTGAAGACGCAGTGATTTCACATCCCCTGTTATCTGCTTTTACTATTTGGCCTGTAATATAAATAGAACACATTTGATGCAAGTTATTCTTCAATTTTACGTGTGGTCCTTTAAATATTAGAAGTTAGCAGTGAAGGGAACAGGGGTATCTTGGTGGAGTAAGTCACTAGATGGTGTTGGTTTCTAGTTTCATTCCAATGCATGGTGGTCTGATCATTTTAATTTGTAATACAAAGAAGCTATTGAAGTGGAAGGATATTTTCTTGTTCTCATATTAGAGCCAAATGAGCAAAACATTAAAGAATCGTAGTTGAAATTGTTTCCAAATCAGAAAAAATTCTCTATAATTTTCTCATTCTGGTTCCTATTTATATTTTCTGTGGAGACTGAGTTGTGGTTGTCATAGCAATTTCTTTTCCTACATGAAATTCTGATACTTGGATTTTTATTAGTTGTACTTCATGTCAAGAAAAGACCTGATCAAATCTGAATGTTGCCTTTTAAATGATATCTGACTAGAGTAGATCTTTTAACCATTACATCATCATCCTAATATTTGCTGACCTGTGAATAATAGGATTCCTTAGGATTCTGTTTTGATGGACCAGGAAGTAGTTTTATGAGCAGGATGGTTTTAAGAGAAGAGTCTGTGTCCTGGTACCCACAAGATACCCTGGTACTCTCCCTTTGCCTTCAGCACCTTCGGTGGTTCTGAGGCCCTTGGGGATTGCCTTCATGTCCATATATGGTCTTGGTTTAAACCCAAAATCTTTCTTTGCTTGGTTTTGTATCCTTTTTATTTTTTTCCTTTTGCTTTTAGATATTTTTATTTCAAAAAAGTTTTAAAATTTACAGACAAGATCTCACTCTGTTGCCCAGGCTGGAGTGCAGTGGTGCCATCAGAGCTTACTGTGGCCTGGATCTCCTGGGGTCAAGCAATCCTCCTGCCTCGGCCTCCCAAAGTGCTAGGATTACAGAGTTGAGCCACCGTGCTGGGCTCTGCTTTTAAACTTTTCCCCATGCAGTTTTCATGTGCTGTTTTGACCTCATTACTATACTAAAAATTCTCTTTTGAAGCTGACAATGACCCAGTTCTTGTTAAATCCATTAGCTTATCTGAGTTTATCATTCGCATCTTTCATGTGACTTTGATATTGTTGACCAATCCTCCTTGAAGCTGTCCCCTCTGGTTTTCTTCTTTCTCTCTTTCATCCTTCCTTCCATCTCTCAGCTATGTCATGCCAAGGTACTTTTTTTCAGGGCCCTGCATAGCTGGTCACTGAGTGAGTCTTTCCTGACATCTCCTAGGTTCTTATTTATCTCCTGCTCCAAAATGTGCCCGTCCCCACAGGTTCTGCCTTGGACAGCTCCATGCATTCATTACTCCCTAGGCTTATTCACTGCTGGGGTGCTACTTGTCATTACAGAGGACTAACCTTCAAATCCACATCACTGGTTCTCACCACTCACCACCACTGCAGTCCTGTATCTTGATATTGGCAGGACATCTCCACCTTTAGTAGCCGCCATCTAGCACTGGGTTCATTGACTTCTCCAATCTCGACGTGGCTGCTCTCAACTGCTAGAAGCATTACTTCTCTGCCAGTTGGACTGTTAGACAGTTGGACTGTGATATCTGCTTCTGCATGCTATTTGCTGCGATATCACACCTCACGTAACCTTGGAAAAGATCTGCTGTACACTGGTGAAAGAATAAGAATGAAAAAGGCAAATAACATCTCAGGCTCATTGGGAAAATAATTTTGACTTGGAAGATTTCCTAAGAAGCTCTTGGGGACTCCCCAAGAGTCTCAGAATCACATTTGAAATCATTGGTGTACCACCAAAAAAGACTGCTAAATCTTTTTCTAACTTGACATTTTATTTTTCTTGTACATGGCCTTTCAATTTTGGTTTTGAGGTTTATATAAGGACGGTTCAAAAATCAAACACAATCACGCAGTCAGAATCTAATATTCATTGATGGAATTCAGTCTCTGAGGCTTGAAAACACATCATACGATAAATGACAGATTTTTAAAAGTCATGATGTTAAACTTCCATGCTCATGAGAGTCAAGTTACACTTCATGCCTCTCTGCAATTCTGCATTTTCATCTCTCTTGTTCTGACCACCTGGATTGTAAATTTTCTCTAATGTAAAATTAAATTTTTGTTCTCTGTGTTAATGGAGAGAAAAATGAATATACAGGAAATAACTGATGTTAAACTTCACCTTTTCCCTTCTCTCGTTTATTTTTGGTTGGTAAACTGAGTTCTGTTATGTGCTCAAAACTGCTAGGTGCTGGGGACATTAAATTTGTAGACAAAATGGTTCCACCCCTAAAATCACACCCTAGGTGAGCACAGTCTTCAGCACCAGAATCACAACCTGATGTGTTAAGAGAGAAGATCTAACCCCTTCAGGAGAAACCTGTGGTGACCCGAGGCAAGGTACTTCTCACTTCTAAGACAATGGTAGGTGACTGATGACCTCCAATCCCCTTCTGTCAAAAGAGACCATTTAGAATGTGTGGATCCCAAAAGCACTGTAGATCCAGTGCCTAGTGTTGAGCAGAAAGCTTACCACCCAGCAGTTAACCATGAAAGTCTTTATTCTTCTGGGGACTCAACATACATTAGAAAGTTGAACGTATGGCAGGCAGATGAACTGTGGGAAGGGGAGGCAGGAATTTAGAGCTAGAAGTGCTAATGGTTGTGCTGGGGGCCTGTCAAGGAGCAGCAGCGTAGGGGCCATCACTGGGTGGCTGTCTCTGGAGAACAGAGAGAGTCTCTCTCTTGCACATCACACTTGAGTTTGGGTATGGACTGAGATAAATTATATCAATACCACCATCACCACCACTAATCGCAGCAGGTAACAATGTATAACCATGTGCCAGGCACAATAATAAGCTCTTCGCATGTATTATTTGATTACATCCTCTTAGCAACCTTACATCTAGGCACTTTTCATTCCATTCATTCATAAGTATATTGTGCACCTTCTTTGTATCAGTTAAGTGTGCTAGGTGCGAAGGATAGGATGGTGAGCCAGGCAGACATAGTCTACATGGTGATGGTGCATGGAGTTTAGTAGTAAAAGGTTAGAAATTAGCCAAACGGGCCAGGCGCCATGGCTCACACCTGTAATCTCTGCACTTTGGAAGGCTGAGGTGAAAGGATTGTTTGAGGCCAGGAGTTTAAGACCAGCCTGAGCAATAGTGAGACCCCTGTCTCTATATAAAATAAAAAAGAAAAGAAATTAGCTAAATAATCTCACTAGTAATTATATATAGGTAGTTAATTATACACTGTGCACATACATGTAACTTTTTTTTTTTTTAAGAGATCACTCAGGCTGGAGTGCAATGGCTTGATCAAGGCTCACTACAGCCTTGAACCTCTGGCTCAGCCTTCAGAGTAGCTAGGACTACAGGTGTTTGCCACCATGACTGACTCGTTGATTATTATTATTATTATTGTTGTATTTTTAGAGATGGGGTCTCACTACATTGCCCAGGCTAGTTGGCCAGCTCCTGGCCTCAAGCAATACTCATGCCTCAGCCTCCCAAAGCGCTGTGATTACAGGCATGAGACACTATGCCCTGCACATGTATGTAACTATTATTCATTGAGCACCTATTATATACCAGGCTGTGAGCATGCAACAAGACTATTGCTATTGTCTCTAGGTCCAGAGAAGGAAGCTGAGTAAGTTTCAGTAAATAATTCAATAATTTGCCACACTTAAAAGATGAGTCCTTATTCACTGTGCTGGTAGAAGAATGACTCAGTGCATGTGGGAAGGATCAGAGAACAGACCATCTGTGGGTCACTGCCTTTGTTATCATTAGAGGTGGCTAAAGCAGAGTGCTCTGTGGGTTCTCATTGGGCAATTGGGAGCCATTATCCTGATGATTGAGGCAATGACTGGATTTCCTCCTTGGATATTCAGAAGTTGGGAATATGGAGAAAGGTATACAGCGTGATTTCTGTGTTGAAAGTGAACAGCATGTACAGTAAAATATGTGTTTTAAATTACCCCTGAGCTGTTTTTTAAATCATAACCAATGAAGAAATCTGTCCAAAGGAAGCGTTTCCCATGACCTTCCCTTTGGAAATAACCCAGGTTTTCTAGTTCTTAGTTCAAGGAAGGTATTTTCAGGAAAAGGAAGTTTGGGGGAGAGAGCAGGGCAGGAAGAAGGGGAAATGTTTATAGATAAAGGTGATTTTTAATGAGCTTCTTTTAGCCCAGCTACCTCCCTGGTCACCATAATGTGTGCTTGTTTGCTGTTCAACAGTGCAGAGTGATGTTGGTCTGAGGAGTGACATCAGAGTCTCTCACTGGCCCTGTTTCTCCTGGACCTGTGATCCTCTGTGCAGTTACAGGGCCTCTGGAAAGGCTGGAGGAGATGACACTTGTCCCGTTCACTGCATCAAAAACTGAGTAATGGCCACGACACAGTGTGCGTGGTAAATATATGATGCTTTGTTTCTTTTCAGGAAGTGGAAAAAAAGTGCCACAAATGAGGTGGAGGCAGATGTGGCCACTTCTTTATTGCGGAGAGGGAGTTGTATGAAGAATGAGTGTTGTATATAATGTGTGACTTCTCTGCGACTTCCACCTGCTCAGCCCCCTGAGTGGGATAACTCAAGAGGCAGCAGGTTGCTTAGACATGCCCATTGCCTGGAACACTTTGGGAACTTCGGTACAAGTCTATAGAGGAGAGTGAAGGAACAAAATGGAGATCATTTAAAAACTAATTCGTGTCGAAAATTCACTTTGGACCTGTCTGTGTTTCTGATTCCTCTTTCTTATTTCATTTGCGTGGGAAGTGACCTCAGATCAAATAACTGAGTGAGAAAAACAAATTAAATCAAAGCACCCAGGAAAGGGACATTTCATTCAAACAACTTTTTGGGGCATCTACAGTGTGCTGGGAAGCAGCCTATAAAAAACACTTGTATTTGATTCCTATTTTCCTTCTCCCTACCCCTCCTATCCTCCGCTTCCAGGGTAGGAAAGCTCTGCCTAGCTCAGGGAACTATGCCCTGGGGGCCATGTTGTTTTTCACTGTGTAGTTTATTGGGAATCAGAATTTTTAAGTGCCAGAAGGGATGTCAAAGATCACCTCGTCTCATTCTCTCATTTTACACTTAATTTTATGAAGCTTACCAAAGTGATATGCTCAAATTATTTCACAGCTGTTACAGCATAAATGTGACACAATTCACATTCTTTTTGCCTAATGCCTGTACAAATAACAAAATGAAATCTATCCTTCACTGTCAACTACATTGTTCTAGTTATCTATTGCTGTGGCACAAGAAGCCACCCTAAACTTGGTGACGTGAACCAATTTATGATTATCTCTTATGGTGCCATGGGATAGTGGGGCAGTTCTTGCTCGAGGTCTCTCCTGTGGTTGCTGTCAGATGGACAGATGCTCGGAGTCATCTGAAGGCCCGAGGGGGCTGGATGTCCAGGTTGGCTTCTTCCCGCACTGGGCTGGCAGGTGATGTTGGCTGTCATCTGGGCGCTCAGCTGGGCTTGGCATTGGATTATCTTGAAGGTCCCTTCTGTTCTATAAACTTGGGAAAGTTATTCCCTTTCAAGAGCCTCACTTCATGAGAATGTCTTAGGTTGCAAGGAAGCGACTCATTTAACTTACCTCTGACTTATGTTAATTACACATAAATGTGAGCTCTATAAATCTGGTCAACCAGATTCCAGAAAATCTTATTTAAAACCTTCCTTGGTTCTTTCCTGTCTGCGTTTCCTTCCTCCCTCCCTCCCTCCCTCCCTCCCTCCCTCCCTTCCTTCCTTCCTTCCTTCTAGAGAGAGAGTCTTGCTCTGCTTCCCAGGCTGAAGTGCAGTGGCACAATCCTAGCTCACTGCAGCCTCAGCCTCCTGCGCTCAAGCCGTCCTCCTGCCTCAGCCTCCCAAGTAGCTAGGACTACAGGTGTGTGTCTCCACACCCAGCTAATTTTTACATTATTTGTAGAGACAGGGTCTTGCTATGTTGACATGGCTGGTTTCAGATTCCTAGCCTCAAGCAATCCTCCTCTCTCAGCCTCCCAAAGTGCTGGGATTACAGGTGGGAGTCCCCGCGCCCAGGCCTCTCTTTTCTTTTGGCCACTTTCATCTTTTTTCTATTTCAGAGCAACTGCTCATATATAACATCAGCATGCTGTGATCCTTCCTCATGGCTTCGTTCCCTGTGCATCCTTTCAAGCTCTGGTACTCACTGCTAAGGTCCTCAATCCTTAGTGCAAATGAGAGGGGAGGGGAGAGCAGAGGGAGGATCTAATTGCCATCAGAGAGGCAGACTATGTGGTCACTTGAAAACCCTAAATACTAACTGGCCCTGGGTTAGACACCCACTCTGAACCACGTAACATATGGCTGCCTAGGACTGCTCTTGCTGCAGGGCAGTGAAAGCAGTGGGAAGTGTGGAAATGTTTAGCATCAGGCTAACAAGATTATTATTATAATATCCATAATATCTGTACTACCTCCCTCACAGGATTGCTATTGAAGCCAAAATTAGTAAAATAGCTAACTTTTCTTCCTTGCTTGCTTTTCTTTCTTTCTTTCTCTTTCTCTTTCTCTTTCTTTTTCTTTTTCTCCTTTCTTTCTCCTTTTTCTTTCTCTTTCTTTCTTTCTCTTTCTCTCTCTTTTTCTTTCTTTCTCTTTCTTTCTTTTTCTTTTTCTCCTTTCCCTCTCTCTCTTTCTTTCTTTCTTTCTTTCTTTCTTTCTTTCTTTCTTTCTTTCTTTCTTTCTTTCTTTCTTTCTTTCTTTCTTTCTTTCTTTCTTTCTTTCTTTCTTTCTTTCTCTTTCTGACAGAGTCTCACACTGTCACATGGGCTGGAGTGCAGTGCTGCAATCTCGGCACACTGCAACCTCTGCCTCCCAAGTTTAAGCAATCCTCCTGCCTCAGACTACCGAGTAGCTGAGATTACAGGCGCCCGCCATCATGCCCAGTTAATTTTTTGTATTTTTAGTAGAGACAGGGTTTCACCATATTGACCAGGCTGGTCTCGATCTCCTGACCTTGTGATTTGCCCACCTCAGCCTCCCAAAGTGCTGAGATTACAGGCGTGAGCCACCGCGCCCGGCCTTTTTTTGTGGAGACAGAGTCTCACACTCTAACCCAGGCTGGAGTGCAGTGGCGCAATATCGACTCATGGCAACCTCCGCCTCCTGGGTTCAATTCTCATGCCTTAGCTTCCCGAGTAGCTGGGATTACAGGTGCATGCCACCACACCCGGCCAATTTTTGTATCATTTTTTTTTTTAGTAGAAATGGGGTTTCTCCATGTCATCCAGGGTGGTCTCAAAACTCCTGACCTCAAATGATCCGCCCACCTTGGCCTCCCAAAGTGCTGGGATTAAGGTGTGAGCCACCACGCCTGGCCACCGTTTATTATCAACTACGTTCAAGGTACTTTATACACACCATCTTCACTTATTTTTCAAAACTGTGCAAGGTAGGTATCATCTATATATTCAGATGAAGAAATTGAGGCTCAGAAATTATGTGCAATTTATTTAAAAGTACACAGGTAGAATTGGTGTAGCTGGAATTGGAATCCAGTTAGGTAATTTTCAAAGCCTATTCTCTTTCTCCTCTAATAATTGTCATCTTTGAAGCCATTTTGTAACCTGTAAAAGGTTCATAGATATAAAAAGATTTTTATTAAAATATTATTCTCTTTTCCCCTACAGACTTGTGTTTTGATTCAGGAAGCATACCATCTGTCAGTGGGCTTTCTCCAGGACAATTTTAAGGCTTACAGGAGTGTGGAACAGCTAATAGCTTCATATCTGTAATCTACACTGAAAATTTCCCTATCAGTAAATTGCCAAGGATAATTGAAAAACCAAAACCAAACGCAAAACAGACTCACAAAAGTCAAACCCTTATGATGCTTCTGGGGAAAAGTGTGACCCGGCCCGTGGCCCCCCTCCTCCCACCCACCAGGGGTGGGGTGGCCTGTGGCTTGTGGCCTGGCCAGGCTCCTCAGCCTGTAGCCTGAGAACAGCCCCTCCCCTCCATGTGCTGACTGCTGGGAAAGGAACCGGGTGTTGACCAGCAGCATTCCGCGTCTGTCCTCTAGTAGTTGCCAAGGTCACACTGCCATTCAGTATTTACTAAACTTAGGCTGCAGGGAGTAGCTTGGAGTGCCCTTCCCCTCGCCCCCATCATTGTCCCGTGATTCTATAGTTTATGCTGGGATGAAGCCCGACCTCCCAGGAGCAGTTTACATGCACAGACAGCTCCAGTCCCTGGTAGATTGCTTTCGACTGAACCGCATCTTGGCATTATGTCATCAGGGATAGTTGGAAGCAGTCCTATTACAGTGTTACTGAATTTGCTGTGAGACGTTGTTAAAGTCAGGCTCCCTACATCATTCAATTTCTTTCTAGGAGGTAACACCGAGAAATTTCTCTTAGGCTAAGTATCTGTACTCCCAAGTAACTGATTTGTTTAAACAGGACCCCCCATCTGCCCCCCCAGCCCCCCAAACACTGCTTCTGTAGATACCAAAATCCACAGATGCTCAAGTCCCTGACAGAAACTGGTATGGTATTTGCATACAACCCTCACACATTCTCCCATATACTTTAAATCTTATCTAGATTACTTATAATGCCTAATGCAATGTAAAAGTAAAGTACAGATGCTCTCACCTACAATGGGGTTACTTCTCAATAAACACACTTTTAAGTCAAAAATTTCATAAGTTGAAAATGCATTCAATATCCTGATAAATTCATCATAAAGTCCAAAAATGGAAAGTTTAACCACTGTATATCAGGGACTCTATGTAGTTCTAATATTGTATTTTTTAAAAATTTGTATTATTTTCTATTTATTTTAAAATATTTTTGATACATGGTTGATCTGTGGATGTGGACCCTGCAGATACAGACGGCTGGTTGTACTTTCCTCTCTGTTGGCTGCTAGGAAGGATAGAGATCATTTTTTCTCCTTTAGTCCCAGTAAAGTCTAGAAGACCTCAGGGCATGTGTAAGGCTCCTAACTTTACCTCTGGCATCATCCTTTCCCCCCGCCTTACTTTCCCTTCATGCCGATTCCCTCATTTATATGTAATATACTGCCTTAAAAACATGCAGACAGCTTTAGTTTATTTTTTTGGATTAAGGCAAGACCTAACTTAATGGATTCAGAATACCCCACTCTATAGAGCTCCTTTAGAATAACTTAAAAGATCGTGACATGAGGCCGGGCGTGATGGCTCATGCCTTAATCCCAGCACTTCGGCCAGCCTGGCCAATATGGTGAAACCCTGCCTCTACTAAAAAATACAAAAAATTAGCTGGGTATGTTGGCACACGCCTGTAGTCCCAGCTACTCAGGAGGCTGAGGCAGGAGAATCACTTGAACCTAGGAGGTGGAGGTTTCAGTGGGCCCAAATTATGCCACTGCACTCCAGCCTGGGCGACAGAGCAAGAAAAATAATAATAAAAAAAGGATAATGATATATTTTAGGAGTAAAGTTACTTTTGAGTCCTGTGCTTCACCCATAGTTGGTCCTCAGCCTTTAAAAACAATGAAATTGCAACACAAAACAAAAACATGCCCTATCCCCAACCCTGTGCTTTTTTTAGCTTAAACATTTATTTGGGGTCTTTCTTAGGTAGTGTTAGCTGCTTATCTTGGCTATACATTTTAAATTTAAAGGGAGCCTCTGTTTGGTAATGATCACTTTCTGTTTCTTCTTGAGGAGGCAGTCAACGCTTCAATATACCCATCTTTTTCAGTACAGAAACGTGACCATGAATGAAACCCTACCTGAGAAGCAGCAGTCGATTCCCTCTGGTTTCTGGGGTTTGGGTTCTCCAGAGGAGAAAGGTGAATGGGCGAAATGACCACAGACCTCCATACGATGGATGCAGCCTGGAGTCGGGTGCTGCTCTTGTCCCGCGTGTGGCCTCTGTGGAGTCCCCTTTGCAGGCCCTCTTTCTCATCCACCCTTGGTCAGCCTTCAGCTTCCCATCCAGAGCCTGGAGTCTCCTCTTGCCCATCCTACAAAGCAAGTACAGTTCCTACCTCAAACCAATCTTATTACACAAGGGCTGGTCTTGTCAGGCTATGTCTGGGCTAATGATATGACCAAATCCCTCAGCATGCTATTTCAAAAACAGGAACAAGTGACTTGAAGGTCACATGGTTGGTTTTTTTTTTCTTGAGACGAAGTCTCACTCTTGTCCCCTAGGCTAGAGTGCGATGGTGCGATCTCAGCTCACTGCAACCTCTGCCTCCCAGGTTCAAGGGATTCGCCTGCCTCAGCCTCCCAAGTAGCTGGGATTACAGGCATGCGCCACTATGCCCAGCTAGTTTTTTTTTTTTTTTTTTTTTGAGACCGTCTCGCTCTGTCGCCCGGGCTGGAATGCAATGGTGCGATCTCAGCTCACTGCAATCTCTGCCTCCTGGGTTCAAACGATTCTCTTGCCTCAGCCTCCCGAGTAGCTGGGATTACAGGAACCCGCCACCACACCCAGCTAATTTTTTTGTGTGTTTTTAGTAGAGACAGGGTTTCACCATGTTGGCCAGGCTGATCTTGAACTCCTGACCTCAGGTGATCCACCCGCCTCGGCCTCCCAAAGTGCTGGGATGACAGACGTGAGCCACTGTGCCTGGCTGCCCAGCTAATTTTTGTATTCTTAGTAGAGATGGGGCTTCACCATGTTGGCCAGGCCGGTCTCAAACTCCTGACCTCAGGTGATCTGCCCGCCTCGGCCTCCTTAAGTGCTGGGATTACAGGTGTGAGCCACAGCGCCCGTGCCCGGACACATGAATATTCTTAAAATATCTTGAAGTCAAGAGGGACCATATCTCATATCATTGTCACCTTTTCCATTCTCTCTCTTTCCTTAAGAAGGAAAACTACGTAAAAGGACTCCCATGGAAAACGGAAGTCAACCAGGGAGCAGAAGCCTATACTGGCAAACCGTTCAGGAGCCCTCATTCTAGGTTTTCCAAAGTTTATAATAAGTTTAGGCCTACAAGCACATACATATTGGGTTTGGGGCACTTCTATACATAAATCCACTGTTTTCTTTTTTGGCTTTGTGGAATGCAGGACAGTCACACAAGAAAATGAGAGAAACATTCACAGCAGCCTGGAAACCAGTTTGGGTCACAGAACATCACAAAGAAGCATGCTGGATTTTGATAATCATTCTCTTTTTAGCACTTAAATGAAATTATTTCACAATGTTATATGTTGAGTGCATAGCTGTGTGGTCCAAGGTATTGCTTTTAGGTTGTATGTAAACTGGCTATTATGTAACAAAATCGTGTGTCCCAACTAGGAGTTACCTACACTGTAGAGTCTTTGCTTGGTAAAAAATGGTGGAGATACGATATGCCTGTCAATTTCTACCACTGTCTTCTCAGCAGAGATAATTCTTATATTTGAGCCTTTTTAGATCTACTGTGGATATAACAAACACAACCATTCACTCTGTGCCTATTAAATCTTTGGCTTAAAAGGAATGGTTCTCATCCAGAAGTAAATGATATCCAAACTTTTGAGAAAGTAAAACTAAACAAAACCTTGGGTGCTGTGGTGATGATGTCTTAGGTATGACTGGGAAACATCTTGTGATATTTCAAAACCATTCTCCCAAGAACAACTGAAAATGGACAGATCCGGTCTGCAGCTCCCAGCGAGACCGATGCAGAAGGCGGGGGTGATTCTGCATTTCCAACCTAGGTACCCAGTTTCTCTCACTGGGACTGGTTACGTAGTGGGTGTGACCCACTGAGAGCTGCAGAAGCAGGGTGGGGCGTCGCTTCACCCGGAAAGAGCACAGAGTCCACGACCTCCCTCCCCCAGCCAAGGGAAGCAGTGAGGGACTGTGCTACCTGCCCAGGGTACTACGCTTTCTTCACAGAATTTTGCGATCTACGGATCAGGAGATTCCCTCCTGAGTCTACACCACCAGGGCTCTGGTTTTCAAGCATAAAACTGGGCAGCTGTTTGGGCAAGCACTGAGCTGCAGGATTTTTTCATTCTCCAGCAGCACCTAGAACTCTAGTGAGACAGGACAACCGTCCACTCCCCTAGAAAGGTGGCTGAAGCCAGGGAGCCAAGTGGTCTCTCTCAGTGGGTCCCTCCTTATGGAGCCCAGCAAGCTAAGAACTACTGGCTTGAAATTCTCACTGCGGGCACAGCAGTCTGGAGTCGGACTGGGATGATTGAGTTTGGTGGGAAGTGGGGTGACGGCCATTACTGTGGCTTTAGTAGGTGATTTTCCCCTGACAGTGCTAAGGAGACTAGGAAGTTTGGACTGGATGGAATTCCCCACAGTGGAGCAAAGTGGCTGTGGCCAGACTGCTTCTCTAGATTCCTCCCCACTGGGCAGGGCATCTCTGCAGGAAATACAGCAGCTCCAGTCAGGGGCTTACAGACAAAACTCTCATCTCTCTGGGGAAAGCACCTGGGGGGAGGGGGGCTGTGGTCGCAGGTTCAGTGGACTTAGCCTTTCCTGCCTGCTGGCTCTGAAGAGAGCAGCTGATCCTGACAACGGAGATTCTCTCAGCATAGTGCACCAGCTCTGCTAAGAGACAGACTGCCTCCTCAAGTGGGTTCCTGACCCCTGTGACTCCTGACTGGGAGAGACCTCCCAACAGGGGTCGGCAGACACCTCATACAGGAGAGCTCTGGCTGGCATCAGGCCCATGCCCCTCTGGGATGAAGCTTCCAAAGGAAGGAGCAGGCAGCAATCTTTGCTGTTCTGCAGTCTCCGCTGGTGATACCCAGGAGAACAGGGTCTGGAATAGACCTTTAGCAAACTGCAGCAGACCTGTAGAAGAGGGGTCTGACTGTTAGAAGAAAAACAAACAAACAGAAAAAAACATCAACATCAACAAAAGGGATGTCATGCAAAAACTCCATCCAAAGGTCATAGGCCTCAAAGATCAAAGGTAGATAAATCCATGAAGATGAGGAAAAACCAGCGCAAAAATGCTGAAAATTCCAAAAGCCAGAATGCCTCTTCTCCTCCAAGTGATCGCAACACCTCTCTAGCAAGGGTGCAGAACTGAACAGAGGATGAGATGGACCCATTGACAGAAGTAGGCTTCAGAAGGTGGATAATAACAAACTGCTGAGTTAAAGCAGCAGGTTCTAACCCAATATAAAGAAGGTGAGAACCTTGATAAAAGATTACAGGAGCTGCTAACTAGAATAACTAGTTTAGAGAGAAACATAAACGACCTGATGGAGCTGCAAAACACAGCACAAGAACTTCATGAAGCATACACAAGTATCAATAGCTGAATCAATCAAGCAGAAGAAAGGATACCAGAGTTTAAAGACCACTTTGCTGAAATAAGGCATGCAGACAAGATTAGAAAAAAAGAATGAAAAGGAACAAACAAAGCCTCCAAGAAATACGGGAATATGTTAAAAGACCAAATCTACAATTGATTGGAGTACCTGAAAGAGACAAGGAGAATGGAACCAAGTTGGAAAACACACTTCAGGATATTATCCAGGAGAACTTCCTTAACCTAGCAAGACAGGCCAACATTCAAATTCAGGAAAGACAAAGAACATCACTAAGATACTCCACAAGAAGATCAACCCCAAGACACATAATCATCAGATTCTCCAAGGTTGAAATGAAGGAAAAAATGTTAAAGGCAGCCAGAGAGAAAGGTCAGGTCACCTACAAAGGGAAGCCCATCAGACTAACAGTGGATCTCTCGGCAGAAACCCTACAAGCCAGAAGAGAGTGGGGGCCAATATTCAACATTGTTAAAGAAAAGAATTTTCAACCCAGAATTTCATATCCAGCCAAACTAAGCTTCATAAGCAAAGGAGAAATAAAATCCTTTCTAGACAAGCAAACGCTAAGGGATTTCATCACCACCAGGCCTGCTTTGCAAGAACTCCCGAAGGAAGTACTAAATATGGAAAGGAAAAACTGGTACCAGCCACTGCAAAAACACACCGAAATATGAAGACCAATGACACTATGAAGAAACTGCATCAACTAGTGTGCAAAATAACCAGCTAGCATTATGATGACAGAATCAAATTCACACATAACAATATTAACCTTAAATGTAAATGGGCTAAATGCCCCAGTTAAAAGACACAGGCTGGCAAATTGGATAGAGTCAAACACCTTTGGTGTGCTGTATTCAGGAAACACATCTCACATAAAAAGACACACATAGGCTCAAAATAAAGGGATGGAGGAAAAAAAAAAACAAAAAAACAAAGCAGGAGTTTCAATCCTAGTCTCTGATAAAACAGACTTTAAACAAAAATCAAAAAAGACAAAGAAGGGCATTTAAAGGGATCAATGCAACAAGAAGAGCTATTTTAAATATATACGCACCCATTGCAGGAGCACCCAGATTCATAAAACAAGTTCTTAGAGATCTACTAAGAGACTTAGACTCCCTCACAATAATAGTGGGAGACTTTAACACCCCACTGCTAATATCAGACAGATCAACAAAACAGAAAATTAACAAGGATATTCAGGAGTTGAACCTAGTTCTGAATCAAGTGGACCTAATAGACATCTATAGAACTCTCTACCCCAAATCAACAGAACATACATTCTTCCCAGTGCCACATGGCCCTTATTCTAAAATCGACCACATAATTGGAAGTAAAACACTTCTTAGCAAATGCAAAATAACTAAAATCCTAATAAACAGTACCTCGGACCACAGTGCAATAAAATTAGAACTCAGGATTAAGAAATTCACTCAAAACCACACAACTACATGGAAATTGAACAACCTGCTCCTGAATGATTCCTGGGTAAATAACAAAATTCTGGCAGAAATTAAGTAGCTCTTGAAACTTATGAGAACAAAGAGACCACGTACCAGAATATCTGGGACACAGCCAAAGCAGTGTTAAGAGGGAAATTTATAGCATTAAATGCCCACATCAGAAAGCTGGAAAGATCTCAAATCGACACCCTAACATCACAATTAAAAGAACTAGGGAAGCAAGAGCAAACAAATCCAAAACAGAAGACAAAAAAATAACTAAGATCAGAGCAGAACTGAAGCAGATAGAGACAAAAAACAAACAAACAAACAAACAAAAAAAACCCTCCAAAAAATCAGTGAAGCCAGGAGCTGGTTTTTTGAAAAAATTAACAAAATAGACCACTAGCCAGACTAATAAGAAAGAAAGAAGAATCAAATAGATACAATAAAAAAAGATAAAGGGGGGATATCACCA